GGGCGGCAGTGGTCTTACAGATCAACAACTTTGCTCTAAAGTCAGCAAACAGTGAAGATGGGGCTATTATCATATGCACTGAGGGGAAACGCAAGTGAACACACAAATGCACACAACTCTGCTTCTTCAAATTATATTTGATTCCATGATACTCTTCTGTCCCCTCGCAACAGAAAGTATTTTGTTTCTGAATTCTTCCCTTAGATTGCACGGAAGAAGTTCCTTATTACAACAGATAATTAAGACTAAGAATGAATATGTTTTGCATTACTGTTTTCAGCCCACAAGCAACCAGTGTTGGTGTCACTGGAGATCTTCAAGATATCCTCAAAATCAGAGATTAATTTTGCAGTATTCTGGGCTGTTTGGGGGCTAAAACAGTAAACAAAAAACCTCTTAGAAATGTAACAACAGTGCGCAACTCAGATAAGGTCAACTCACATATACGGATTGTACTTGTGCTTAGAGGTATGCCTGACCATGTAACCCTGAAAAACAAGACATACGTTCTGTCTCTCTTGAACATTTGAAGGGTTAGAAGGGAGGAATTTGCCAGGATGATCATTTAGCAGTAGATAATTCTCAGATGCCGATTCTGGACACAGGAATCCAACCACATCAAACCCATGTCAGCCCACAAGGACTGGTGCCAAAAGAACCGTCTCCAGCTTTTCCTGCAGGCAAAAGGTAGCATCGGAACCTGGCGAGTCCAAGATGGCCATCACTTTCCACAGCCATGAATTCAGGTGGTCTGGGCCACCCAGAAATTAAAACTCTGTTTTCTATATTCTTTATTTTGGAGGGAAAGGATCTATAGGTATAAAGTAAAATGCTTCTTAAGAGAACAATTTTACACCTCTCCCCCCAACATATTCTGTGAGGCTGCAAGACCTCATACAGTACCGGAACCTTAGGAATCGAGGGCAGACTTAAAAGGGTAGCTTTTACTGCTACCTTTTGTTCAGCAGGAGTGAAGGGCACATTGCCTTACCCGTCACAGCTATGCTAAAAATCAGCAGCTGCTGTCGAGAGTGTGCAAGGCTGGCCCTTAAACTTATGGCAAGATAGCTGTTGAGCCAGGGAATGTTGAAGATGGCTGGAGATAAACAGAGAAAAAGAGAAAGAAAGAGAGAGAGAGGAAGAGAGAGAGAAAGGAAGAAAAGAAAAGAATCTGGTCCCAAGCTCCTCTCCACTTATGGTAGAGCAGGAGAAAGGGTGTAAAAGGAAAAAAAAAATACAGAAAGGTCCCTTCTACCAGCCTAAACCAGGCTAAATGAAGCCCTGGGGACATCACACTGCAATCCCCTTTGTTGCTAGGACCAAGTTAGTTCAAGCTTCAGTCTGGTGGCCATATCTGGTCCCAAGCTCTTCTCCACATATGGCACAGCAGGAAAAAGGGTGCAAAAGAAAAAAAATACCGAAAGGTCCCTTCTACCAGCCTAAACTAGGCTAAATGAAGCCCTGGGGATACCACACTGCAATCCCCTTTGTTGCTAGGACCTCATCTGCTATGGCTACGTAAGTCACAAACAGGAAGAGACTGGGAGCAAATCATAAGAACTCAAAATGGAGAGTTATCCACTAGGACAAAAAAGAGAGAGAGAGAGAGAGAACTAATTTTTCCAGCCGGCTGCAGCAAAAACAAGATTCAAGGAAGTCCGAACAAGGAAGCAGTTTTCCCCAGCAGAATAGCCATTGAGGACCCCCCCCTCAACTGGGCAGGCAAGGCTGCCATTTCCACTGGGTGCAAGTACATTCCCCTTGTTCCCTTTCCCATGCATGTTTGGACTCCACGTCTCCAGCCACGCGGGCCCTATATTGGCACATATGAATGAACATGGCATGAGCAGACAATGCTCAATTTTCCGAAGATAAAACTGGAAACCTGTAAGGTAAAAACACAAAGGGAGAAACATGCTGTCCACAACTACTCCCTGGCCTGTAGCCGAGTAGCATCAGTGGGACTCTGCTGCAATCCAGGGCTTTTCATCTTATGGCTACATAAGTAACATCTGTCGTCATGTGCCACCAACGTGCTTCCCTTTCTGGACACCCCATATATCGCTTTCCTGTCATTAACAAGTCTTGTTCAGGTCTTGCAAACTGAAGGTCATAATCTATTCCAGACTGACCTTCTTGTACTGCTCATTTTGACTTCTCCCAGTGTTATTGGCTTTTCCAGGGACTCCCGTCTTCTCATGATGCACCCAAAGTACGACAGCCTCAGAGTGCAACAGCACAGCAAGACAATGCAAATGAACTCACATGCGCTCACGGTGAAGTTGCACCGGAACCCCCTTAAGAAGGCTTTGTTTCCTCAATCTCTCATTTCCTCCTCTTATATTGCTCGCTGGTAGAACTCCTCAAGTCATTTTTTTTTAATTAATAAAGAGGAACTCTGCTGAAAGAGAAAACTGTTTACAAAAAGAAGCATTTTGAGAGAGGGATGTAGTGGAGTGTGCACACTCATCCTCCCTTGCGAGGCAAGATGCTTTGGCAAAGCAAAATTTTGTGTTTGTGTTCACGCAAAACTGTTTTTCTTTCTGTGTCACTTGCTTTGAAATGAAGCGCAAAGATTAGACTTTTAGAAAGTAGAAGGGTCTCTGAACAGTGGGGAAAAACTATCCTATTTGTAAAGATTTCCTCCCCCACTACACTTTAAATGAATTCCTATTTTTCCTGTCCGCTTTCTTCACTGTCCAACTTCTACCTCCACACAGATTGTAATTGAGAATGCCACAATATAGTGAGAATGCCACAATATAAATAATGTGGGCTGTGTCTCCGGTGACAAAATTTCTTCCCAGATATCCTTCCAAGCCCCAGTCTGCATCGGATTACTTGACTGTAATCTCCATTTAGACTGAAAATTGAACAAGGCTGTAAAACCCCTCCAGCTTCTTCACTGCCAATGTTTCTTCACCCCTTCTTCACTGCCAATGTTTCAGTTACCTAATGGTTCTGTAGCCACTTTTGCTCTTCTTGATGGTCAATGGCAAAGTCTGCCTTTACACTTCTTTCAAGATTCTTCTGGAAGGTCTGTGTTGCTTCCCGCCAGCATTATGCTATCAGGTTCCAAGTTTCAAACTTCAGATGTTTCATCCCCCCCCCCAGTTTTTGCTCCCCCTTCCTCTTAATCAAAGCCAACTTTCTGTATGATATGTTCCGCATTATAAACTGAACAGATTAGAAGGTAAATCCACCCTCATCTGACATCTTTGCCAGTAGAATTCCACTCTGTTTCTCCATATTCCATTCTAACAATAACTTCTCATCCAGATAACTGGTCAGAGCAATCAAATATTATTCGTACCGACAGCAACGAAAGATTACAAGCCCGATTTGTCTGTCTCTGGCAAGAAGTCTTGAGGGAATTTCAATCTTTGGACCACATTGCTGGGATCAAGATGGTCTGTACCTATCATTCCAGAATGCACACAAGGTTCCCAGCTGTCTTAGCCAGTATTTTTCAAGATCTTAAGGTGCCGACTATAAACATCAACATTGACCTAGGTGAAACCTCAACTGATTGGCAATGTGTATTTACTGAAGCAAGAACAAGTCAAAGACACTGGGGCCAGTGGGCAATTCACACCTTCGTGAGCTGAACAATACCAGCAAACAAACCCAACCTGACTGGCTGTTGGACGAATACATAAATGAGAACCAGATCTCCTGGGAGAGATGGTTGTGTGAATCTATTATTAATGTCAGTGGAAAGAGAAAAGCATAAACCATACATGGTTTCATGCTATAAAGCCACAGTGAGGGATCCCAAAGGACTGATCATTATGGATGGAATAACATGTTACAACGGACAAAGTTTGTCTTCAAATGCCAATGCAAGAGGCTTAATGTTTGCAAGGTAGAAGATATATGAAGCCCTTCTCTCCCTCTGCAGAGTCACTCTTTAAGTGAATCTTGTTTGCCAAATAAATTCTGAGTTCATATAGTATGATCTAGTTCTCCCCTAATTATGCAGCAATGAGTACCTAAAACCTTTTGACACAGAAGCCCCCCCCTCCCCAGGAGTAATTGGACATTATATGCCAGATGAGCAGCTAGAGTTCGGGAAAACAAGTA